AATAAAAATAAAAAATAAAAAAGGAACCTACTCAATCACAAAATTATATTCTGTTATGTAAATAAGTTTACATTCACTCCAATTCCTTCTTATACTCAAACTCACTAGGTTGATAGAGAAAACTGCATTACACTCAACTAACAGAAAACAACCTTTTCGTCCAAAATAATCAGCAATAACTTTGGGGTAATAAGTTATGAGTCAGATTAGTTCTAGCAAACCCAACCCCATGAGCATGTAACCAACCTAGGAAAATGAAAATGTAGAGAGAAAGAATCATCCAATAAAACCGTTAAAAAGGGGAGAAATGGATACCTCAAGAAATTGTTGAGCATTTGTATGATCAGGTTCTCTCTCATCCTGATCACGATTAATCCTCCTATCCTTACTCTCACGTTTCCTCCGCTTCTTGTGCATGTTCATCATTGTTTTGTCATCATCCATCTCAGGGTGTTCAACACTCAGATCACGCTCAGGATCATGAGAAGGAAGCCTCTTTCGTCGATATCCTTGTGTCTTGTCTACTTGCATTTGCCGCATCATGGGTGCCATAGAACTCCGCTCACTAAAGCGCTGCAATGAATTTCGAGCATCCGGAGCATGCTGTGTAGAAGGTGCTGCGGAACTATCTGGTAAGAATCTAGTGAACTCCTCAAGCAAATCTCGATGATCCTTAAACAGGGTAGCAACCTCACTATAAGCTTCACCCATGTCCTTATGCTCTCTGTGGTACATAATCATCATGTCCAAGAATGATATGTAAACATGCTCATCACTTTGGAATCGTTTCTTTATCTTGTTCAAAAAACTCATAGCTTCTTCAAATTCAACCGTTTTCTTTGGAGGAGCCTCATCCTCGTCAAGGGTTATCTCATATCCCTTTGGCAGGAAAGTGTTGTGCCCAAGTTTCTGCGAAGTGATTGCTCCCCCACCAACACTACCTCCTCCTCCTCCTCCTCCAGGGACTTGGGTTTGGCCATAGGAATCACCACGTGAGGAACTACAGGGGCGTTTGAATTGAGAACCAGAACCAGCATAAATATCATCATCGCTTACTCTCTTCATCTTTTATCGGTTCTTCAGATTTTCCTAGGAAAATTCGCTGGAAAACAATTCGAGTAGATCGACAAGAGAAAAAAAATAAAGAGTGAAGGTGTTTGATCGGACAGAACAAGAAATAAGGTAAACAAGAAAAATAAGAAATAGGGTTTCTTCTTTCTCTGTGTCTCTCTTACTTTGGTGTGATGGTTTAAGGTTTAGGGTTTATAAAAGAGAAAAAAAAAAATAAGGAATTGAGACAAAAAGAGTGAAAAACAAGATATGATATGATATGATATTCTCATATCTTATATTATGTTTGATGTGCATTAGATAAGCTATCTGACAGGACAATAGTATCTTATCCGGTGTTTGATGTGAATCAGATTGTGCCCGGATATTCTTTAAATAGATAAAAATATTTTCAATAATAGATTTTCATATAATTCTTTTTTATTTTATGTTTAAGCTTTTCATTTATTTATATTAATTCCTATTTTAAACTATTTAAAAAAAATTAAATTCATTTTTTTAAATAAAATATATTAAAAATACATAATTACGAATATTTTTACACATTAACTATGAAATAAATATATTAAATTGTATCTAATTACAAATTTTTTTAAGTTTATCTCAAAATGTATTAAATTGTATCTAATAAATATATTAAATTGACAGGATTAGGCAAAAAAGTTAAGTTAATGCTATTTAATAAATTAGTTACGCATTTATTATAGTAGAAATAAAGGAAATAATTAAATAAATATTTTAAATCTCTATGGAAGAATGATCAATCAACAAATTAATGACTCTACTAATTTAATTTAATACATTATTTAAAATTAATATATTTAAAATCAAATTAAATCTAATATGCCAATTATTAAAAAAAATTAAAATATATCTTGCTTTTAAAATAAAATAAAATAAAAACATAAATGAAATGATAGTTAAAATTCATAAAAATTTTATTTAATATATTTTAATTTTTTTTGTCCTGATGATATAAGCATAGGTTATGTCAAAATTTCTATATAAATACATAAAATACAAATTTAAAAGTACACAATACGATAAAGTTTTGTTTCAAAATTTAAAATTACATAATACAAAATTTAAAAGCACAAATTCTTTTAGTTTTAAATAATCATTGTTTAAAGTTTTGTACAAAAATTAAATAATTTATTAAATACTTTTCGATTTAATGAAAATATAAGTTTATTTGATTATATTACACCTTCACTCTATTAAATCATTCTTACTCCAATAAGTAGAAATAAAAAAATAAAGTAGAGTTAAGACAAATAATATATTTTTATTTTTTAAAGTGTAAAATAATTTAGAATAAATTATAAATTTTTAAATACAATTAGATACATAAAATGTGCCTATCACATTAGAAAGCAAGTTAAATTCAACACCTATACACATTTATTACACAATATAACGCCCAATAATTGGGCGTCACTCAAGAGGCAATCATGCTTAATTTAGGCGTCACTCATCGGGTATTGACACGTGTCATATTTTTTTCTAAAAAAATAATAATTTAGTCATAAAACTTCTGAAGGCCATAACTTTTGACTCGGGTATCTAAATCAGGTAATTCTTTTTTTGATTCCATATAACTTTTCGAGATCTACGCAATGAGATCTCATTTGACATATTTTATTCCTCACAAAAACAATTTAAATTTGCAAGAATGATATTAGAAGAGTCGTTAAACCCGGAAGCCTCTGAGTTCTGGATTTGTGATTTAATATAAATAAATAAATAAAATTTTGATTTGTGATTTAATTTTTTTTTTATAATTTTTTTTATTATAAAAAATTTTGGTTTGCGATTTAAATAAAATTGCGATTGAAATCAATGATTAATGTTATGAGCTTCTGGGTTATTATTTATGGTCTGAAATTAATTATGGCTTATGAAAGTTTTTCAAAAATAAAATTACCTAAATTAGGCGTGATTGCCTCTTGATTGAAACCCAATTTAGACGTCATTGGTGACGTGTCAGGTGTTGACACGTGTTGACGTGTCACATTTTTAAAATCAGAAGCTTCTGTGTTCTGGGTTTGTGATTTAATATAAAAAATAAATCAAGATTTGATGTGTGATTTAAATTAAAAAAATAAAAATTATTATTAATAAGGAAAAAAAAATAAAGAAGCCCAATTTATTAACAAGATTTGATGTGTGATTTAAGTTAATACTTTTTAATAAATTAATTACGCATTTATTATAGTTTTGAAAATAATTACATATTTATTGCACAATAAAACGCCCAATTTAGGCGTCACTAAAGACGCCTAAATTGGGCGTCACTCAAGAGACAATCATGCTTAATTTAGGCGTCACTCATTAGGTGTTGACACGTGTCATATTTTATTTTCAAAAAAACAATAATTTAATCATAAAACTTCTGAATGCCATAACTTTTGACTCGGGTATCCAAATCAGGTAATTCCTTTTTTGATTTCACATAAATTTTTGAGATCTACGCAATGAGATCTCATTTGACATATTTTATTTCTCACAAACAAAATTTTAATTTTGCAAGAATTATATTATAAGAGTCGTTAAACCCGGAAGCATCTGAGTTCTGAATTTGTGATTTAATATAAATAAATAAATAAATAAAATTTTGATTTGTGATTTAAATTTTTTTTTAATAATATTTTTTATTATAACAAAAATTTGGTTTGTGATTTAAATTAAAAATTAAAATTAAAATTATTATTAATAAATAAAACAAAAAAAAATTTGATTTGTGATTTAAACTAAAAAATCATTTTGAAAAGTCTGTAGAAATAAAGGTAATAATTAAATAAATATTCTAAATATCTAAGGAAGAAGAATATTATTTTTGAAATTAATGATTAAAAAGCTTCTAGGTTATTATTTATGGTCTGAAATTAATTATGGCTTATGAATTTATTTCAAAAATAAAATTACCTAAATTAGGCGTGATTGCCTCTTGATTAAACCCCAATTTAGACGTCATTGGTGACGTGTCAGGTGTTGACACGTGTTGACACGTGTCACATTTTTAAACTCAGAAGCCTCTGTGTTCTGGGTTTGTGATTTAATATAAAAAATAAATCAAGATTTGATGTGTGATTTAAATTAAAAAAATAACAATTATTATTAAAAAGAAAAACAAAATAAAGATTTGATTTGAGATATAAACTCAAAAATCAATTTGAAAAAGCTGTATTAATAAAGGAAATAATTAAATAAATATTCTAAATCTCTAAGGAAGAAGGATTACCTGATTTAAATTTAAATTATGTTTGTGAGAAATAAAATATATCAAATAAGACGTCATTGCGTAGATCTCGAAAACTTATGTGGAATCAAAAAAAGAATTACCTGATTTGGATACCCGAATCAAAAATTATGGCCTTCAGAAGTTTTATGATTAAATTATTTTTTTTTGGAAAACTTGTCGTCTACTTTGAGGAAATGTTCTTGGAAAAAAAATATGACACGTGTCAACACCTGATGAGTGACGCCTAAATTAGACGTGAATGCCTCTTGAGTGACGCCCAATTTAGGCGTCTTTAGTGACGCCCAAATTGGGCGTCATAATTTGCAATAAATGTGTAATTATTTCTAAAACTGTATTAAATGCGTAATTAATTTATTAAAAAGAATTAAATTTATTTTTTTGCCGACGGATTAATTTAATTTCATTAGTTGCGTTAGTTTTTCTGACTGGAGTGGTTGTGTCATCAATGTCTCTGACGAGACTGGGTGCCGTCAACTTCTCTTATGGAACTGCTTGACAATACATGACGAGATTGGTTTCGTCATTCCTTTTGACATGTTTGACTACCTTAGTCCGGTAAAACTTATCAAATTTGCTTTTAATTGAAAAATCTTCCACAAAAAATTCTTACAACGGTGCTTTAGCCTGCTAAATAAGCTTCATAAACTGCAGTGCAAGGTTTCCCCATATGTACATAGATGCATATTTGCTATTGAAGCCTTCTTGGGGTGATGGGGATTACACAAGCAAAGGGACTCTAATTTTAGAAATAATAGATGATGAAATTGAAGAAGCTGATAAAGAAAAGTTTGAGAGCAACAATGAGGAAGATCATGAACATGATGACGAAGGGATAACAGATAAGCATCATATCGTTTGTGATGTTGAAAGCTTTTATCCTCATAGAGGTGGCAAAGTTCTTTCTCAAACTTGCACTCTGATGAAAAGGATAAAGAGAGGGATGAGAAGGAAGATAGAAAACTTGAATTTGCATTTTGAGAATCATGTAGCTTGTGAAACTCATGCATTAGAGAGGGAGCAAAAGATTGAAAGTTTTGCTACTGAGTCACCTATTAGAGCACAATCAAGTATATTTGAAGTGCCAGCATTATTCACAATGGATATGAATGCACTATAAAACAAACTTGAGAGAATTTCAAAGCTTGGATACAAATATGACAGGCTTGGAGAATTATATAGGTTTGGAAGTTGAAGATTTAAAATTGTAGTTGAGTCACTTCCAGAGAGGATTACTATTTAAGAAGATCATACTTTACCAAATGATGGCAACAATGTTGAATCCATCTCAGAACCTCGGATAATACAAAAGGAACAGGACATCTTTTTTTAGAATTTCTTAACCATCATCTATTTAACTTGGGTTGTTCACGTTTCATGTTTCTATTTATTGAAGTCACCGAATGAAAACATAATGGGTTAGTACGATTATTTGAGTGATCCTGTTGCATATATCTTGACCATAAAATCTCACAAGCTTTTGGTCATGCAGCATGTCTACCTCAATCTCAAGATCCAGCCTGCTCATATGAATGCACACAAGAAGATGAATATTCAACAAGTGATGATAATGCTGAAGTTCAAAATGCTTTCGATGAATTCATTGCTTAGAATAATCTTTGTGAGCCTCAAGCTTTATCCAATGGTGGCAGCAATGCAGAAGCAGCTGTAGAAGAAGCAGATAATACACAAGGTACAAAGAAGTGTAAGAATTAAAAGAACTTAACACACTCCCCTTGCAATTGTGTTGTTCGATGTTTCCTAGTAACTAGTTCATCAATTGAAATCAGCATATGTAGATGTAATACGTTTGCATACATTACATGAGATATCATTTTTAATATATTTAAAATATCAACAATTTTAAGAAGTTTTTTCTCCCCAGCCAATAAGCCTCCATTTCATGAACCAGACTGCTCTTGTCAATGCATACAAGAAGATCAATCTTCAACCAATGATGATGATACTGAAGTTCCCAATGCCTTTAATGTGTTCCTTGCTCAGAACAACATATGAAAGTTTTACATATCATACATTATTATTTTTCTTTTCATTTTGTTTCATCTCATGAAACTCCAACTTCTGCTCCCTACTTTAATAGGAAATTGATGCTCTTTAGGATGGAAGTGTTGCAAGTGAGGCAGAATGTGGTGATCCAATTTTAACAATTAAACGGCTAAAATCATTTTAAAAATCTGAAAGACTCTTTAAGTGTTTTATATCAGGAACTAGAAGAAGAGAGAAGTGCCTCTGCAATAGCTGCTAACCAGACAATGACAATGATTACCAGGCGGCAGGAAGAAAAAGCAGCAATGCAAATGGAAGCATTGCAGTGCCAAAGAATGATGGAAGAGCAATCAGAGTATGATCCGGAAGCTTTGCAGATTTTGAATGATTTAATGATGAAAAGAGAGAAAGAGAAGCAAGAACTTGAAAAGGAATTGGAAGAGCACAGGAAAAAGATACTGGACTATGAAGGAAAAGAGAAATTGAGGGTGTTGAGAAGAAAAGATGGAATTGTAAGAAGTAGAGACTCCTCTTCATCTTGCAGCAACATGGATGAGCTAACCATTGATCTTAATTAACTATGAAGCAAAGGATGAAGACAATGGCATCTTCAACCATGAGGAAAGCAGCCACAACAATTTAAGTGCTGATACAGTTTCAAATTTGGAGGAGATGGCAATAGACTGTGCAAAGTATATAAGTGTTGTTGATAATTCATTGGCAGAATTTGAGGAAGAGAAGGTGTCCATTCTAGATGAGTTCAAAGCATTGAGGGAAAAACTTATCACAGTGGGTTATATAATGAGCAATTCCTTGATGAATTTAACTTGATTGAGCTTTCATCAAGACCAGGTGACAAAGACTTGATATGAAAAACTCATTTCCTACACTTGAAATGGATAGCATGAAGGTGTCCATTGAAGAGGAGGTTGATCATGTTTATGAGAGGTTACAAGCTCTTAAAACATATAGGGAGTTTCTAAAGCACTGTAAGGGATCCACACAGAATGGAGACAAAGGAATGGATTTTCTTCAAGAAATCTTGCAACATCTTTGTGATCATAAGCAGTGGAACTCCGCCTAAAGAACTTGGGTAACAATCCATTGGGGTGAAGATTCATTCACCAACCGAAAACCGTGTAGGGTATGCAATTTATATCAAAGTTCATTTTATGTCGTTTTTAGCATCAATAGTTTTTCATACTTAAAAGGATGCATATTGCATAGTTGAAGTGTTCATATTTAAGATGTCAAAATTTACACATTAGCATCAATAGTTCATTCTATGTAGTTGGACTGTACAAAAATTTTGGTGCAAGAACCCTGTGTTTTGCAGGATCTCCTCATTGTCAACTTCTCGTGAAAGATAATAGGAGTATAGTAGGTCTAGTGACTTTGGTCTCTGAGTAAAGCCATATGGGATTTGAGCAAATTTACCTATGCCAAATTTTAAAAAAATTTAAAATTATTTAGTGCCAAGGCACTAGCTAGTCCTAATGTGACCCAGCCACTGCTCTTAATGATGGAGGAGTGAAGTATAAAGAGGAACTTTATCCTTTAATGAAGTTATAAGTTAGGCCTCCTAAATAGGCCCAATATGACGCCTAAAACAAAGCACTTTGTTTTAGATTGTCTTAGAGATGTGTTCATCACATTTGGAGTTTCATTTTAGACTTATTATGCAACCAATCATCGTAACGCTCATATTTTTTTTTTTTCCTTTTTTTTTTTTTGGGTACATATAGAACTCATATTTAGTTGGGTTTATGTGTGATTAAAAGGATTTTGTTAATAGGTGAACCAATGTTGTTAAACTGTGATTACCAATTCGGTTGAGGTACTAAGTTGATAACTCATTGGCTCAATCTATCAATCACTTGTTGAACTACTATTGTTTATTTGTTCGTTTATTATTACTAAACGGTTTAAAATCATTAGTCGCGCACAATTAAAATGATTCTAATAATAATATAATTAACAAGCTGCAGCTAATTCCTCCCTTAGTAGAAAAGACGAAAGTCCTATGTATATGTGAATATAGAAATCGATGGATTCAAAAAAAGTAAGTCAATTTTCAAAACAAAAAAAAAAAAAAGTAAGTCAAAATATCATATTTAAAAAGAAGAATGATGATGAATTCTTATTTATCCCTCTTGCTTCGAATTTACATAGCTGTGGTTGTTTTTGCTGCCGAGATCACATGCCATGGCTCCCAATTCATTTATCACTTTTTCTTTTCCCCATTTCCTGCCCATGCTGATCAGAGATTTTCTGAATCATGCTTTTGGATGGTGCATGGATATAGAAGCTAGCTGTTGAGATATGGGTATTATGGGTTAGTGCTAAAGCGCTTTACGAAGGATGGTGTGGTCTGAGTCTGACATGATTAAACTCTTTGCTCGAAAGAAGTATGGGTCTCTCACATGCTACTGCTATGCTATGCCTCTGTCAGGTGGTAGTTATTTTGTCGGATTCAAAGATAACGAGGTATAAATGGACCGGATTAGGATAGGTTTTGGCTTAAATACGTCAAGTTTGTGTAAAAAATATTGGGTATAGCCTGGCTTATTAGACTGTGTAGGCTCCAAATTATAAGTCTGATCTGACCTATATTCAAAAAATAAAAGTCTTGGCCTAAGCCTGTTAGCCTGTTTGAGCCTACTAAACATTCAACAATTAAATGAATAACTAAAATAATATTATTTTATTATTCAAAATTATTAAATAATAATTTTATTTATTATATTTTAAATACATGATATAGGCCGTCCTGTAGGTTTATAGGCCCGAACTGTACAAAAAAAGTCTATGGCCGGTTTTCTAAATAGATTTTTGTAATAGCCTAGACCTATTCTATTTTACTACTTATAATAGGTCAAATCAGGCCTAATATAGGCTAGACCGTAGGCCTCTGTAAGCCGGCCTAACTCATTTACACCTCTAGAGACATGCAACGGGTAGTGGAAATAAAAAATCCAAAAGAAGTTTACGCTTTTTTTTTGTTCGCTTACAACTAAAAATAAAAAGTAAAAATAAATTAAAATAAAATGTAAATTAAAAGGACCGAGAAAAAAACTACTGAATGTATTTTATTATTTTTAAATAAAAACTGCTAATGTACATATTTTTAATAAAAAATACTGTTAAGATCTGATAGATCGTAAATATCCAATCAGAGATTTGTAATTTAATATTGGATGTGTTTACCCTCTCAGGTACCTATGGGGAGGTACCCTAGATATCAGAGGAACTCTGTGCACAACAAAAGAAACGACATAGTCAAGGCGTGAGGAGTGTGCACAATGACAAGCTAAGAGAGAGAATTTAAAGATCCAATATTAAATTATCAATCTCTGATTGGATATTCACGATCTATCAGATTTTAACATTGGCGTCATCTTTGGAGATTAGTATAATTAAAGAATATTTCCTTAATTCCCTCTTAATTATTAGCTCTATTTGGATCTTTTAGAATGTAGACTTTTGTCAAGTTCATAACAAATACAAAAATGAAAATATACCCCATCAAAAGAGGGTGTTCACAATTTTAATTAAAAATCGTGTTTAAAAAATTATGATGATTGAATAACGTTTTAAAAAAGCAAAAAGTTTAAAAAATGAGCAAGAGAGCAAGCTAGAATCGGAATAAAAAATGAGTGAAAAGTTTAGCATAAAATAAAAAATAGTAAAGCCTCTTTGGATCGTTTACAAAAAAATATGATTCTTATATTTGTTTCTTATAAAAAAAAATTAATCTCGAGATCCATAAGAAATTTAAAGTGAATTTATTTAGTCGAAAACGTGATCCTCATAAATTCAAAAAAAAATGCACATTTTTTCGTCAAAAGTACTAAAATGAGTCCACTTTGAATTTCACAAAGATTACGATAGTAATTCTTTTTATAAGGGACTAAAGTGAGAATCGTATTTTTTATTAGAGATTTTACTCAAAAAAAATAAGTGAAATTTTTTTCAATTAAAATAAAAAATAAAAAAATTATAAATTTTGTGATAAGTCAAATAAATAAGGTGGATTATTTTTACAATATCAGATAGTGAACGAAAGTAGCACCAGAACCAGGGACATTTTGGTACTTTAATAGTTTCCATAAAATTTTCAAAAAATCAAAATGTTCTGCCACGTCATAGTTCCGTGTGTCATTCTCATGGCAAGTCCCCTCCGTCAGATCACCGTCCCTTCCGTGATTCCTGGCTGTCTATGTTTCCATGATTGAAAACATCAACAACAACAGAGAGAAAATAAAAAATAAAAAATAAAGAATTTTTTTCTGTATCTTATTTCGTTTTATATTATTTATTATCTTCCTTCCAATCAAGATCCTCAAATCCTCGCAGTTGCTGGTTCTAAAATCAACGTAAATTTCTATTTTATGGAGTGTTTGGCACCAGGATTTTTGAGAAATTGAATTTTTCTAAATTTTAAATTTTTGGATATTATTGTAAACTGAATATAAAAATTATATTTTTAAAAATTGAGATTTTCGGACAAAACAAAAATTTCTCCTCTACCAAACGCCCCTAAGGCGCTTTCAAAGAAATTATCGACTACGTAGCACCGATATCGACACGTAATATGAGATACGACACGATATTTTAACTCGATAAATTTAAAAAATATTAAATTTCGACACATTAGAACACGTTTTGATATTGAATAATATTTTTAATTTATGTTCTTGTTATATTTAATATTCAATAATTTAACAAAAAAATAAAACTAAACTTATAATACTCATTAACTTTGTAAAAAAACATAAAATATCATAAATTATATTAAATTTAATAAAATAGTAATAGTAATTCAACAAATCTAATAGTTAGAACTAAAATTGCAACGCAACGCAATGTAACCTTTGAATCTTTTTTGAGTGTCTCCAACGCGTGTTGAAGTATCGGGAAGTGTCGGAGTACCCAAGAGTGTCGAGAAGTGTCGGACACTACACATCAAGATTTTTGAGCACCGTAGATTATCGATTATCAATCTAAATAGGGATTTATACTTATTATGTTACAGAAAATTATTATTGTCAATTGTCATGTTAGAGAGAGATCAATAACCGTGTTTTAATTGTTTTGATTTTTGATTTTTTTTAAAAGCAATGGGATCCAGATCCAGACCCACTGAAGTTGTCTCTGCAGAAAAATAAAATTGATTTCTGTTGTATAACAATTCGAAATCCCATCTAAATAATACACAAGATTGATAAAGTTTTCAGTTCTCCATCGTCATATTCCATAAAAAATAAAAAATAAAAGTTGTTAAGTAAATAACGTTTATGTACAGGGTACTCACAAGATATCAAGGCTTCAAAGATGAGGTGAGAGAAAGAAATATCATTTGTCTCGACCTAAATGATTTGGGCGTGGACTTCTTCTTCTAGTTACCGAGCAATAACGTCTTTTGCAAACTCCGGCGAAATTCCGACGACTTTCAAAGAGCTTCCGTCAAGTAGTCAATTTGGTGATTTTTCCATTTAATGAAAGAGAAAGAACATAATGGATGAAGTAGGAGACAGTGGGAGGGAATGAGATGAAAGACAGACGGAGCGGGAAAGCGAGCGAGAGCCGGAATAAAAAATGAGTGAAAAAATTTCTGAATTAAAATATAAAATATTTATAAATTATAAATTTTGTGATAAGTGGAGCATCCAGTTTTGAAAATGGACCTTTTGTCTTAGTGCACTCGTTTTTTAAATTGAACAATGTTTGAGAATCCACTGTGCGATGAAGAATGGAGATTAAACCCCCGCAGCACCCCCAACACACTCATCAATAGATAATGCTATTGTTTAACAAAAAAAAAAAAGATAATGTTATAAAAATCGTATTGACCTGACTAAGTCGATCTAAAAATCGATAAATCGATCATGTAACTAGTTCGGTATTTATATTAAACCAAATATGTTATAAAATCGGTGTGACCCGGTGCGGTCTGCGATTTTTACAAAAAATGGTAACCCGATCAATTCAATCGGTGACCGAGCCCTGTTTATAAAAAAAAAAAAAAAAAAGTTGTTCTCGTCGATTGATGCATGCCTTTCTTTTTTTCACTTTCACACACAA